TTTCTAAAATGTTCGAAATTAAAACAGGTTCAATACTTCACCCGTTGCATGTGAGTGATGGCACAGCAACTGAATTGAAAATAGGATAATTGTCGTCATTACTATGCCGAAGCACATATTTTGGAGTATCCCAAAAAGTGCCGCAAATCGTGCTATATTTCAGCAGATATTTTAAGAGCCTAACACTTTTATTAACCCTATAGTATCATAACAGACTAAGCAGGGGGTCAATTAAAAACTGGAAAAGCATCCTGAATTATTAATATTTATTAAAATAAAAGCCCATATCCTCATTTACTGAATATATATTAACCTGCAATTATTTCGCTATTCTTGACATCCACCGCTACTCTCTCTCCCTGCATACACGGTCTCAAAATATCGTTGTGCGCCCCTTTAAACCCCAGTCTCAGTTGCTCCCTCTGATCCAAGCACAATTACTGCAGATCATTCATCGCCTATTCCCGAATACCCCGTACTATTTTATTTAAAATAACGTCTATCTTAAATTTTTCCTTCGTATACGTCTCACATTAAATATCAGGTGGAAACACTCATCCTGTACATCCTCCTTCCCTTTATATATGTACGATCATTTCCACGCAGCGCCCCTTCCCTCACCCCAAGAAGTCCCCATGCACCTCTGCTATCATCATATACATGCATTCCTACCCAGCGCCCTTGCTAGTGTAAATACCAGGTGTATATACATTCAAAATTCGTTAAGTGAACGTAAGTACTTACGCTCTATTTTCATGTCTATGATTGGTGGATTTTGCTTGAAAGGCCGTCAATGATTGGCCGATGAACTTACGATCTCTAATTTTTTTTAAAAGTATAGGCCCAAGTGTATATACATTAGCAAGGGTGCTGCTAGTGTATATACACTAGCAATGTTGGTACGAATTACATTACATAGCAATGTTACATAGCAATGTTGGTACGTAAATGAAGGTTTTGATGCCGTCTTGAAGAGCAAGGAAGAGATTCCTCTAATTTGTCAAGGTTTTTGCGGGAACATCGTCTCTTCATAATTTTGCTCCGAGCTTCCTGATGGATGCTTGTACCATACTTTGGTCGGCAGGCCCCGACGCGATAATGATAGCTTCATGAGTTGAACAAAGTGGAATTTCTGTTGCGTGCGAGCTGTACGCTTACCATACTGGTCCATAGCACACAGATCTAGGGGGTAAGGGGTAATATTTGTTCAGTTGTACATTTGATTCCAGACTTTTCCTAGTGTGCTCAAACGACCACAATATTCTTGATGTGCCCGAACGCCCCCACAATATCCTTGATGTGCCCGAGCGCCCCCACAATATTCTTGATGTGCCCGAGCGCCCCCACAATATTCTTGATGTGCCCGAGCGCCCCCTCAATATTCTTGATGTGCCCGAGCGCCCCCACAATATTCTTGATGTGCCCGAGCGCCTCTAGTTTCTTGTAGCCTCGGTAGCGCAGTAGGCAGCGCGTCAGTCTCATAATCTGAAGGTCGTGAGTTCGATCCTCACCCGGGGCATTGCTTTTGTTCAAACATCTTCAGAGTCACAATTTATATGGAAACCATGTTTGTAGCATAAATTCTACATTGCCATTGCGAATCCTTTAATCTAAGCGTTGCTTTTGTACAGACATCCACAAAAACAATGAATTTTTATGTCAGGTAGGTATGTATGTTGTATAGATTCTTTCTTGTCATTCATTGTTTGCACGACCGTTTCTTTATAACGCTAAGCTGTTAAAAATTCAGGTGCTCGCTGGCAAAATTAATCTCGAAATGTCAATCGATGGACCTTGGCTCCAGCTCGATAATAATTTTCGATAAATTTACTCGAACGATGATAGTGGTATAGCTTCTCCTAAGTCAATAAAAAATAACTAGTAAAATAGGTATTCATTTGTAGCTGTGTTGGTTGCTTAGGGTTGAAGGTCGTAAAAGCATGACTGGAGTAAAAAAAACAGTACAGCATGAACAGAGTAAAATTATACGAAAAATGTCTTCAGCGTATGTCTCAATATCGTGCGTGCAGCTGCAGCGTATGTCTTAGTATCGTGCGTGCAGCTGCAGCGTATGTCTTAGTACCGTGCGTGCAGCTGCAGCGTATGTCTTAGTACCGTGCGTGCAGCTGCAGCGTATGTCTTAGTATCGTGCGTGCAGCTGCAGCGTATGTATTAGTATCGTGCGTGCAGCTGCAGCGTATGTCTTAGTATCGTGCGTGCCGCTAATGTCCTACTGTCTTGTGTTGTGCTGCTGCATAGAAAAAAAATATATTTGGAGCTGCGGGGTATCGATCCCCGTACTTCTCGCATGCTAAGCGAGCGCTCTACCATTTGAGCTACAGCCCCTTCCTTTTTAAGGTAGTACTAATTTTCTTGCAATAATAATTTAAATTTCATACTCTTACGCTCTACATTGACATTTCTCACTGCAGTAGAATTGATTTGTAGTCGCATTTCCCCAGCGCAACTCTGCTCGAGAATGGCGAGTTTGGTACTATTATTAGTCGCATTTCCCCAGCGCAACTCTGCTCGATGGCGAGTTTGGTACTATTACTAAGTTCTTTATATCACCTCATCATGCTGCAAACTCCTTTGGTGGATTAAAGCATGGTTTAAATCCAGGGATAATTTCAGTAGTCATTAGACGTTGAACAAATTATTATCGTTCAGTGTTCATGAACCTTCTGCAGTATAGTAACTCCATTCTGTATAGTAACTCCATTTTGAAGTTCTTAACACATCGCTCACGGAACACAACATCCCGCAAATTAACATATTTCAATCATTGGCGACTCTTACCATGCTTGAATGGTAGAAATGCTACAAATGAAATCATTTTTTTCAGTGATACCTACTTTTCTTATTTGTCAGATAATGCCATGGAAAATCATCAATTGTATCATGCGGGGCTGTAGCTCAAATGGTAGAGCGCTCGCTTAGCATGCGAGAAGTACGGGGATCGATACCCCGCAGCTCCAAATTTTGAAATAGTGAAAAACTGCCATCAAAAATGAACGAAATAAAAATTGCCAACAAATTGTTCATTTAGTCTGCGCAAAAAATATATATCTTGGGAGTCTAATTACTTGTAAAACGCCAGAATTGAACAATCAGTATCAAGTAGGAAAGGAAAAGAAAACAAGGATTTGGAATTTAAGTAATTTAGCCCGAAGTGCGAGCTATCGATTTTCTTGTTTCCCGCCCCGCAGCGAGCGCACCACCATCTGAGCTACAGCGCCACTAATCTCGAGAATGTTGACTCAGCCACAATTCGCCTCAAGACTTTGTGTGCCATACAGTGTCGTGCGGTATATCTTGAACAAGAAGAAGTTTATCCAACGGTACAGTACGTTCTATAAATATAGCTTCACGGAGATACCCTGTAATGCTTTGTTCGAAGAATGTAAAGGCTCGAAATTTATCATGATTGAATCATGATTGAGATCGAACGTGTGAATCTGATGGGTTTCACATTATTTTGTTCTAATGTTGAATCAGCGTTCTATATTATGTAAAAATATATAATATATTTTAACAAGATAGCTCCCAGATATTTTAAATATATTATTCATTAAAAATATCTTACCATTACGGCGGAAAGTTTAAATGACGAATTCAATACTTGTAGCTAACGTATTGCTAAATAGTACGCGAACACACAGGCCCTTGTGTATAGGTAGCGTGGCCGAGCGGTCTAAGGCGCTGGTTTAAGGCACCAGTCTCTTCGGAGGCGTGGGTTCGAATCCCACCGCTGCCATGATTTTTTAGTAGATTATTTGTATCTTAGGAGAAAATACATCTCATAATCAATTAATAAAAATACACGTAGATGAATGAGGTGGTAAGAATATTCTATAAGTGGAGGCTCGTTAATGATGGCGTTTGTAGTTGTGCCGAAACATTGCAAAGCCAAACCGCAGTTTGTATTAAATAATTTATCAATAAGACAACGATATGTTACATGCAATTATATATATGTATTAATATACATAGAAGAACTGTAACACTTGAAAGGCGGGGCTCTAGCTCAAATGTTAGAGCGCTCGATCACTAGCTTTGCTTTCGAAAATTACGGCGACTTGCCCCGACGCTTTCATGAAGTTCTGGCGCTGCAGTGGCGCTGTCCTGACGTTGCTCTGGTGCTGCCCAGACTTTACTCTGACACAATTCTGGCACTATACTCTGACGCTGCCTTGCATGGCACTGCCGTGTTGCTGCCCTGACGCTGCTGTGGTGCTGCCCTGACGCTGCTGTGGTGCTGCCCTGACGCTGCCCTGACGCTGCTGTAGTGCGGCTTTGGCACTGCTGTGGCGATGCCCTGACGTTGCTGTGGCAATGCATTTTTCTGTTTTGATGCTGCTCTGGAGCTCTGCCGCACCTATATCACTTCTCTGATGCTGTGCTAACGCTGCCCTGACGTGTTTCGTGGGTTCGAATCCCACCGCTGCCATGATTTTTTAGTAGATTATTTGTATCTTAGGAGAAAATACATCTCATAATCAATTAATAAAAATACACGAACATGAATGAGGTGGTATGAATATTCCAGAAGTGGAGGTTCGATAATGATGGCGGTTGTAGTTGTGCCGTGCCGAAACATTGCACAGCCAAACCACAGTTTGTGTTAAATTATTTATCAATAATTACAACGATATCTTACATGCAATTATATATGCGAACTAGGATAATTACATAGAAGAACTGTAACACTAAAATGCGTGGCTCGCTGTAGCTCAAATTTTAGAGCGCTCAATCACTATCTTTGCTTGCGAACATTATGGCGACCTGCCCCGACGCTTTAAAATGAAGTTCTGGCGCTCCCCAGACGTTGCTCTGGCACTATTCCGGCACTATATTCTGACACTGCATTGGCACTGCTGTGGCGATGTTGAGACGCTGCTGTGGCAATGCCTTTTTGCTGTTTTGGTGCTCCTCTGGAGCTCTGTCGTACCTTTATCACTTCTCTGATGCTGTGCTAACGCTGCCCTGACGTGTTGCAGATGACGAGGTACAAGCAACAGATGGACGTGGAAGACGACCTCAGCAGCCTGGGCTCGGCTCGCACCGAGGACCTCTCGTCTGGCCCCACCAGAGTGAGATATCACATGGTGGGTTGGCGCTCTGGATACCTCATATTGAGTTGGCCCACTGGGTACCACATGTTGGGTTGAATTTCTAAATATCACGTTTCAGATTGACACTCCTGCGTGTAGTATACAAGTGGTATGAGTGTTGTGGGTGTGTTGGTCGTGTCGGTAGCGCGCCACGCGGTTGCCGACGGATGACGCGCGCTTGTCGAGCTCGTCGCACCCTTAGCTTACTCGTTGCATAGCGCATGGCATCCGTCACTACCTCTAGCACTATCACCACTAGTATTGCAACCACAGCACGGTCATCACTTACACTGTCACCACCTGCCCAATCAATTACCATCTGCCCAATCACCACCTGCCCAATCACCACCCGCCCCATCACCCACCACCAGCCCTCACCTTACCCCCTCTGCCCAGGGCTCGCACTGGTGGCGGGCGCGGACGCCCCTGGAGAAGCTGCTGCTGGTGGGCTTCGTGCTGCTGCTGGTGACGGTTGTGATCCTGGCGGTGTCGGTGCATATGCACAACCACGCGGTGCTGCTGCAGAGCTCCTCCTTCGGGGGCAGCGGGCCCTTCATCGCCCACGTGGGCGACACGCAGAGGGTGTGCCTCACCAGCGAGTGTGCCATCGTCGCGGGGCGCCTGCTGGCCAACATGGACCCTTCGGCAGACCCTTGTGAGGACTTCTACAGGTGGGTCCTGTGAGGACTTCTACAGGTGGGTCCTGTGAGGACTTCTACAGGTGGGTCCTGTGAGGACTTCTACAGGTGAGTCCTGTGAAGACTTCTAAAGGTGGGTCGTGTGAGGACTTCTACAGGTGAATCCTGTGAGGACTTCTACAGGTGGGGCCTGTGAGGACTTCTACAGGTGGGTCCTGTGAGGACTTCTACAGGTAGGTCCAGTGAGGACTTCTACAGGTGGGTCCTGTGAGGACTTGTATAGGTGGGTCCTGTGAGGACTTCTACAGGTGGGTCCTGTGAGGACTTCTACAGGTGGGTCCTGTGAGGACTTCTACAGGTGGGTCGTGTGACGCCTTCTTGTGGGCCAGGAGTCGTTTATTTGTGACTCGTATTGTACCTGATTAAAGTGATTATCGTTATCGCAGTGCCATGAACCCCTCGCAGGTGCTCGGGGTTATTGTTGTTACTAAAGCCCCTTGATCTGCAGGTACGCGTGCGGGGGTTGGGTGTTGGCGAACCCCGCGCCCGACGGCAAGGCCTCGTGGGGCGCCCTTAGCAAACTCGCCGGCGACGCCCAGACCGTCCTGCGTGCCGCCCTCGGTACGTGGGGGTCAGGAAGGTGATTGTCACCCACGATATGTTGGTAACTGACGGGGAAACATCGCGCGATAAATCCCTAACAAAATTTAGAGTCGCCCCAGCTTCTGGTAATCTCAATCAGAAGCTGCCACGACTGTAAATTTTCATTTGGATGGGGTCTGGCTGGGAAGGGTTAAGAGCGACGCCCGCGGTATGTGAGGGTCTGGCGAGGTGATGCGTGTGTAAGTAGGACGAGTGCGTGGAATTGAACGAGTTGCGCTTGTGTGAAGAGATTCGTGCATGTATGGAAGGTGGTACGTGTGTGGGGTAAGGTTGTCTGAAGAGTGAGTGCGTGTGTAGAGGGGTGAAGAGGTGGGTGGTGGTGGTGAGACGCGGATGACGTTTGCTGCACCGAAAGCAAGTCGTTTCGCCAGCGCAATTGCTGGCACTACAACCAAATGCATGCATCCTTATACCCTTCTGTCGTATCGCACCTTCCTCACCCTTCCCTCAAATCGCAGCCTCCTCACCCTTCCCTCATATCGCAGCCCTCATAATTCCTGTTCCGCAGAGGCGGACGAGAAGCCGCGCAGTGAGGCGGAGGCGAAGGCGCGTGTTTTCTACCGCTCCTGCCTGGACAAGAACAACACAGTCCAGGACCGCGGCGCTAAACCCCTACTCCTTAAGATGAAGGTTCGTGGGCCCTAGCGTGGGACAGACACAAGTCTGTATAGCACAAGTCTGTATAGCACAAGTCTGCTGGGGCTGCGTCTAAATTTATTTGCTGTTTATATTATGCCTTGTACGATTTTAAATGCATCACCCTCTGAATAACTTCTAGTTTTGCGGCAGCACGCATTGGGTAGTCGCTCAATATACATCGCGTTTGGACCATTGAGCTACACGACTACAGCTCTTCGTGATTGGAGGTAGCGGCAGCAGCAGCAGTTAGTTGATTGTTCGCTGTCAGCCTGAACGATCTAGTTCAGAGAGCTGTCTGTACCTGAGTAGTACCGTTTTAAACTAGTCTGCCTGTAGCTTCCGTGACTTTTTGCTGACAGTTACCGTATGCAATACTTCATGCAATACGAAGTGCCTTACTGTGCTTGCCCTTTTAACTGGTAAATATTTAACTGGTAGACTATTTTAACTGGTGTCAATTAAGATTTCAATAACAATTTCAATAAACTATTTCAGGTGGGAATTTAATGATTTCAATCCATTGCTATTGAACCGGCATTCTACTAACAGATGACACTAGAGTATACCTATAGAAGGCATTAAAGGGTGGAAATGAAAGAGCACAGTCACCTGGAATTACTTTATATATTGTCTCAGCTTACATTCATCCCTGACAGTTGATGAAAATGTTCTGTTAGCTACAAGCAGCGCGGGCCGGTGGCACAAGAATTAAATGACCCTTATAAACCTGGCTAGAAAGTTCCCTATCTATATTGAAAACTGAATGGAAGACAGTGGCGTGCGTAGAAACAAAAAACAATTTCTAAGCACTAACGGACATGAAACTGATCAGGAAACGCAACGAGCGACATTATAAGGCAAATTGCGTCGCTTGCTGTTCCTCGCTTGCTTGTGGTACAATATTTCTAAGACGTATTATATAGTCTAATGGTGGCGGACGCCGGTCTGTGCTCGTCTGTGGCAAGTCTTGGGTTACTGAACTAGCAGTGTATGTTCCGCTGTTCCGCTTTGTTCCGCTTTTGTTCCGCTTCGTTGTCCGCTTTGTTCCGTTCCGCTTTTTCTCTTTCGTTAGTTGTCAACTTCTTTGTGTTGTTTCTCCATTCCTCACGCCCGAGAAGAATTAGAAGGAAGTGTCCCACGCAGGGACTTTGGGGCCTGTATGGACACAATTGACACCTCTTGTCCCTACACAGGAGCTGGGGTACAAGGAGTGGGGGGAGGACGTGGGGACGAAGTACGACATCGAGAAGGATGTCGTCAACAGCAAGATCAACATGAACTCCATGGCGCTATTCACGTGGGGCGTGGCCGAGGACGACAAGCATTCATCCAATAACATCATCCAGGTGCGCCCTCCTCCATAACATTCATCCAACAGCATCTTCCTGGTGCGTCATAAATGATAACACTCATCCAGCACCATCATCCAGGTGCTCCGTAGCACTCATCCAGCACCATCATCTAGGTGCGCCTTACACTCGTCCAACACCATCATCCAGGTGCGCCATAACACTCATCCAGCACCATCATCCTGGTGCGCCATAACACTCATCCAGCACCATCATCCTCAACAGCAAGATCAACATGAACTCCATGGCGCTCTTCACGTGGGGCGTGGCTGAGGACGACAAACATTCATCCAATAACATCATCCAGGTGCGCCATAACACTCATCCAGCACCATCATCCAGGTGCACCATAACACTCATCCAACACCCTCATCCACGTGCGCCATTATACTTCAGGTTGGTTTAGTGTCTCTTACGCTGCAAGAGCGTATGACCTCCCACACTTGAGTGTTTTAGCATTGCGTGTCGACACGGTTCAACATTTCATACCACACCTGTTAGTGTTATGACCTTCACATCACTACCTCACATTACTGTTATGACATTCACATCACTACCTTATATTACTGTCACATGATCCCTCATCACAGTCACGATTGTTACAGTTCGAGCAGGGTGGGCTGACGCTGACGTCGCGCGAGCTCTACCTCAACGCTTCCGAGAAGACGGTGGCCAAGGCCTACCTCGAGTACATCACCAAGGTGTGTATGGTGCAGCATAATGATTTGTGTGGTGCAGCATCCTGGTGCATTCGGTGCAATAGCATGGTGCTTTTGGTGCAGTTTCAAGGTCCATGTGGTGCAGCACCAAGGAGAATGTTGTACCGCACCAAGGTGGACGGGGTGCAGCAGCTAGGTGCTTGTGGTGAAGTATAATTGTGCGTATGGTGCAGAATCATTTTGCGTGTGGTGCAGCACAATGTAGCCAAGGTGTACGAACGTTGCCCTAGCCTCTACGGACTAACACATCGCCCCATCTAAAGCTTCTCACTCCCGCAGATCGGCGTGCTGCTGGGGGCTACGCCGAGCAAGGCAAAGTCGGTTGCCGAGAACATCGTCGACGTGGAGACGCGCATTGCTAACTTCACGGAGCCTCCCGAGCAGCGGCGCGACGTCAAGAAGCTCTACCGCAACATGACGCTCGACAAGCTCTCGGACGTGGCCCCCTTCGTAAGCGCACTTTCGTGTCTGTGTTCATTCTTCTTCTAACGGCTCCAGCTGTTTTGTGCATCTCATCAGCCCCCAGCTGATTGAGTTACTGCCATCAGCTCCAGCTGTTTGATTCTTCGTCTATCTGCTTCTGTTGTGTATCTGTTTAGCTTCAGTTACCCTTACAGCAGCTAAATTTTAGGAGTGGTGTGCTGAAACCTTCATTCTGTGCCCCGATCAGGGATTCTCTCTTCAGTTGAGTTGAAATATGATGCAAAAAGAATAATTTTTCTAGCCTCATTTTTTGCCTTTATTTAGAAGGAATGTCCAAATCTGGACACAGGTAAAACGTAATTTTCAAATCACACTCCTCAAACGGATCTACTGAAATGGGAACTGAACGTAAACAAAAACATGGAAGTTTTTCTTGTTTCCCTGCACCCAGCGTGTGAAGCTGTGCACAGTTTCGTATAGGATGCATTTGTTTTCATTTACATCGTTATTTTGGGACATGTGTTTAATCTGTCGGCTGCAGTAATAGGTAAAGGATGAGTTTTATTCGAATATTGGAGTGAGACTCTCCTCGTTTGATCTGTATAAGTACCTAACCCCTTATTTAATACTTACTTGAAATTTGAAAGTTTAGAAAATTTCATAGAAATACACCATATCATTTTAGAAAACTCTTTGGAGTCTAGCTCCATCATCAGTTCGAAATCAGCTTTTATCTAACGGAAATTTTTACCATTTTCTTCGAAAAATGATTTTTTTTTATCATTTTTCATTAAATTTTTAACATTTTTTCATTTAAATTTTATTTATAAATTTGAGTTTAAACTTCTGCTTTTTTTTATTTTGACTGTTCAATCAACTGATTGTACCTGCACTCTAAAATTTGCGAAGTGATAATGCAGCTGGAGTTCGAAACTTTTTCTATATAGATATGAAAAACCATTCAGAATTTTTTTTTTCGCTTCTAATTTTTTTTTGTGAATTAGCGACTCAAGTAATCTTGAGATACTTGTTTAATCTTTAGACGCACTCCTTGCATGATCTTTGTAAGTATTCAAAATTGAGAAATGAACCTCGCCAAACGACGGTGGCTACGTTCTTAACGCATTGATAACGACTTTTATTGAAAGGTGCCTGTGAAGAGTGCGTGATGAAAGACGCTTTATTTAGGCTGATATATAACCAGAGTTTGATGACAAGGAAGAAACGTCATCAAATAATGCTTGTGTTTGCAGATGAACTGGACGAAGTTCATCAACAAGGCGTTTGTTGAGATCGGGGAGAAGGTTTCCGGGGACACGCAAGTGGTGGTGTACGCGGAGGACTTCCTCAAGTCTATCAACAACATGATCGTTGACCTCAACGCTAACGAGGCTGGCCGCAGGTAAGATCTTATACCTCAACGCTAACGAGGCAGGCCGCAGGTAAGATCGTTGACCTCAACGCTAACGAGGCAGGCCGCAGGTAAGATCTACGACTTCACCGCTACTGACGCAGGCAGGTAAGATCTAATATCTCAATACAACTGACGCAGGCCGCAGGTAAGATCTAATATCTCAATACAACTGACGCAGGCCGCAGGTAAGATCTAATATCTCAATACAACTGACGCAGGCCGCAGGTAAGATCTACGACCTCGCCGCTACTGACGCAGGCCGCAGGTAAGATCTACCATCTCGGGTATGCACTTGAGTTTTTTTGAGCTATCTCGGAACATGTGAAAAAAAAAATCAAAACCTCTTTTTTTAAATGTTTGAAAATTTTTTTTCTCAGCCATGCAAAAAGCAACAAGTCCCAAACTCGGTACACATGTCGACCATGATGAGTAGTATGTCCCTTTAAAGTTACCGAGCATAACAACCATGTCTCGGGCAGGAAGCTGCACCACTATCTCACGTGGCAGTACGTGCAGCGCTTCGTCAGCCTTCTGTCTGACGAGTTCAGGAACGCAGCGAAGGCGCTGACGGAGGCGCTGGAGGGCGTCTCGGGCGAGGAAGAGACATGGCGTCAGTGCATCGCTGCCACCGACGCTGCTATGGGCCCCGCCCTGGGAGCGATGTACGTCAGGAAGGCCCTTGACAACTCGTCCAAGAAGCAGGTCAGTCTTTACCTATTACCGCTATAGAATGAAATTTCCAACGCGTACTTCGTACTTTATCAAAACAAATATTTGAACGGCTCACAGCAACAAGAGGGAACAATAGCTCCTTAGAACGAGGGCATACCCTTTTCTGTGGCTAGTACGCCACATATACGCCAGCATCGGCTGACTCATCCCCAATTTCCACCACGAAAATCTCTTCTCTGCCAATTCCATCCACAAGCTGCCAATTGAACCTTATACTGCCGAATCAACCTTCACACTTCCAGGTAAACTTCAAGAGTGGGTGATGCTCAAACTGCCTCATTACATCACTTCTATTTTTTCCCTCGTCATAACTGTTGCGAGTGATGGAGTGATACCATCAAATTTGTGAAAGAAGTTAAAACAGGGACATCTGAAATCTAGCCCGCAGTTTTCATTACGTCTAATATCCTATTTAGTCAGCCTATACCTACTTTTGATGGCTTTCAACACAAGCTTGTCGTATCTTTATTATCAAACACAAACATTCAACAAACGTACATTAGCAAGCACGTCCATTATTGGAACCAAGGCAATCTTTATTTGTAAGGACCCCCTCTCGATCAAGATTTTGGATTTTAATGAGCGGTTGTTCCTCAAGCTAAAAAGTGGCGGCGGCCAGAACTTCTATTAGGCTTAGTTAACGGTTAATCACAATAAGCTGAGTTACCTGTAAGAAAACTCAACTATAAGACAGAGGTGATGAACGATTACGATCAGTCAAGGTTGACATGAACAAGTATTGTAATTGTTGTATAAGTGTTCACCAAACTTGTCGCCGGTTCTAGAAACTGCAGAATTCTCATAGCTTGCTGGGCTTTGAACCAGAAACTCACTGCTGCAATCTTGATGTTCTCAACCACCCAGCCGCCATGACTATTCTGACCAAAATTGCTACGTAGGAAGCTGGGCTCAAACCCACAACTCACTGCTCCAATTCTGATACTCTAAAGTTGAAGTATCAGAATTAGTTAGTTTAGAGTCTAAACTTTAACCACTCGATCAGCCTGTCGCAATACGTCGAGTTTGTTGATCTCCCGTTGTCATGACGTGACCTGCGTGCAGGTGGAGGACATGCTGTCCCGCATCAGGAAGGCCTTCACCCGCAGCCTGCAGCGCGTCTCCTGGATGGACGATGTCACCCGCAAGGCCGCCCTCGAGAAGGCCAACGCCATCCAGCAGATGATTGGTGAGTGGCACACGCCATCCAGCTGATGATTGGTGAGTGGCACACGCCATCCAGCAGATGATTGGTGAGTGGCACACGTCATCCAGCAGATGATTGGTGATTGGCACACGCCATCCAGCAGATGATTGGTGAGTGGCACACGCCATCCAGCAGATGATTTGTGAGTGGCACACGCCATCCAGCAGATGATTGGTGAATTTGGCGCATATCATTGGTGATTTTTTTAAAGGCTCATCACTATCTTATTGTATCCCGCATTATTGTGTACACTGACCCGCATTACCAAGTAACTTGCACAATGCATCATCTAGTAACGCTGCCATGACCTAGTCACCTAGTAGTAACATCATCACCTAGTTACATGAGTTACTAGTAGTAACATCATCACCTAGTAACGCTGCCATGACCCACAGGTTACCCGGATTACTTGCTTAACCCGAAGGAGCTGGACAAGAAGTTCGTTGATCTCAACCTCACCGAGGACGACTTCTTCGGCAACAACGTCCGCGTCGTCGCCCTCCACACCCGCGACAACCTCAGGAAACTCTTCAAGCCCGTCAACAAAACCCAGTGGGACATGACTCCCCCCACCGTCAACGCCTATTACTCCCCCACCAGGTGAGGAACATGACCCCACTCCCCCCACCGTCAACGCCTACTACTCCCCCACCAGGTGAGGAACATGACCCCACTCCCCCACCAGGTGAGGAACATGACCCCACTCCCCCACCAGGTGAGGAACATGACTGGCTGCGATGGAAGGGACGTCGTCATATTTCTTACGTCTGCTTTTAGTAACAACTTGGCTCGTGATCGGTTCGCTCCGGCTTGTATTTTTTTTATGTTTAGTGCAAATAAATTGAAATGTTCCTTTATTTGTTCTCAATAGAGGCTTGATGGACATTGAACAAAAGGAATTCAATTATACATACGGCCCTCAAAACTAGCCAGAAGTGACCACGTAAGTGAGCGACAGTCATTGGTAGCTTATTTCCATTGATCAGCTATTCAACCATTGAGGTGAATTCAGTCGGTAGCTTGTATACTAGGGAGACTTGTAGGTTTAGAGAGTTGTTAAAAATTACGGAATATTTACTGAAGGTTCAACAGTAAAATCACAACGCCTTTCAAGTAACTAATGTTGATGATGCATTTACTCGAAGATTGTCAGTAGAAATCATGTATACAAAAATGACTTATTCCGATGAAAGTACATGTACGGGTTTGCTCGTCAACAAGAGCTCTTTTAGAACCCGACCGCAAAAGCCATCGTTCACATAATCTAAGAGCAGGTAGCGTATGTGCTAGAGTACAAAAGCTCCAATTATATCACTGCGGGAGTGTGAAAAAAATTAAATGCTTGATTTGTCTGCAGGAACGACATCGTATTCCCAGCTGGCATCTTACAGCCGCCGCTCTTCTGGAGCAAAAATCCCGAGTCGCTGAACTACGGCGCTGTGGGCGTCGTCATGGGGCACGAGCTTGGGCACGCCTTTGATGATCAGGGTACGTGTCAGTGCTGGTACGTGTGAGGCGGACTGGTACGTTTATGGCACCGTCTGCCCTAACTTTTATTTGATGTAATTAACATCAAATTTTTTTATTCGCGCTTATGCCCGGGTAGTTCGATCACAGTACTCCGGCTCGCCAACTTGTGGTGTTGATGTAGGCTGAGGCATAAGAAAGACGACCCTGTGCACACCTGTTATCAGAAAGCATATGTATATAATTTAGTTAGTCTTACTGAAACAATCCGCTGAGAGTTTGAGTTTGTAAAATCATAGGATTTGCAACATGGTTGCGTGTGCCACCAGGTCGAGATTATGACAAAGATGGAAACCTGGCCCCGTGGTGGCAGCCGACCACCACCAGGCTCTTCCAGACGCAAATGCAGTGCCTGGTGGACCAATACTCGGCCTACGTCATGTCGGAGGAACACCTCAACGGCAACCTCACTCTGGGTGCGTTGGACTTGTCTTCTCATGCTGAGCGTGTTGAATTCTAATATTCTCAATTAAATTGCCTTGACATAACATAATGATCTCGGCGCTGAAGAGCAGGCCTGATGTGGCCTGTCGCCGATTCTTTTCCTTTTCGTGCCTTGTTCCCAGAAGATCTAAAATCGTGTCATTTGACCGGATCTTTTCATGACTGACGATAGTTTGAAGTAACATAACATAGTGAAGAATATTGAATTTTGCCTTAATAGCGTCGGAAAATATTCTGCCATAGCACCATCTTCTACTTTAGTCATGCAACGACCTTCATTATCCTCCGTATTGCATCAATGACAATGGTTGTCCATTAATCACGACCCATCATCGTCCCTCGCAACACTACCACCCATCACCACCACCCATCCCCACGACCCATCACTACCACCCATCACTACGTACCACCCATCCCCATCACCACCACCCATCACCACCACCCATCACCACCACCCATCACCACCACCATGTGAGGACTTCTACAGGTGGGTCCTGTGAGGACTTCTACAGGTGGGTCCTGTGAGGACTTCTACAGGTGGGTTGTGTGAGAACTTCTACAGGTGGGTCCTGTGAGGACTTCTGCAGGTGGGTCCTGTGAGGACTTCTGCAGGTGGGGCCTGTGAGGACTTCTATGGGTGGGTGCTGTGAGGACTTCTACGGGTGGTCCTGTGAGGACTTCTAGAGGTGGGTCCTGTGAGGACTTCTACAGGTGGGTCCTGTGAGGACTTCTACAGGTGGGTCGTGTGAGGACTTCTACAGGTGGGTCCTGTGAGGACTTCTACAAGTGGGTCGTGTGAGGACTTATACAGGTGGGTCCTGTGAGGACTTCTACAGGTGGGTCCTGTGAGGACTTCTACAGGTGGGTCCTGTGAGGACTTCTACAGGTGGGTCGTGTGAGGACTTCTTCAGGTGGGTCGTGTGACGACTTCTACAGGTGAGTCCTGTGAGGACTTCTTCAGGTGGGTCCTGTGAGGACTTCTACAGGTGGGTCCTGTGAGGACTTCTACAGGTGGGTCCTGTGAGGACTTCTACAGGTGGGTCCTGTGAGGACNAGCGAGGCATATCAAAAAGAGAAATTTGATAGGACTAAAGTAGGACAGTTGAAGGCATTACGAAATACTAGGAATATTAAATAAGAAAATTGGCACTAATACTGTGCGCCTGGAAGGAAAGAGTTTTGAGTAATAATGAAATTCTACGAGAAGGAATAATAATGAATAACTAGCAACAAAATAGAGATCACATGCGTGGGTGGGCGGATCTAGTGGAGCAGTTCGTTCCGACCTGCGACGTCGCTCCTGCGTCGTGAGGGAGGAGGGCTAGTTGACAATAGGCAGACCAGGGTCTGTACGCGGCATGACAAAAAATGAACTGTTAAAGATGATCATGTTAGAGAACATAAGGAACAGCCTACAAATTGCCATAAATGAGGTGCCCAAAAATCTAGTCAGTTGCAGCTAGTAAGTTAAGGATTTCTTTTGGTTCTATAAACTTTTATGTCAAAGTGTGCAAGATTGAAATGCGATTTCTCCTGCTCGTAAGCATACAATTAACAATATGAGGTTAATGTATAAATCAATTGTTCAGGTTTTTTTAAATTAAGTATAAGTATGCCTTCTGACGCGATGGATGGATGCACTTTCCTTCAATGTTATCGCTCCGCTGCATGCGAGTTTCATCATCTGCCACTGTTAGCTTATATAACATAAAATATTATTTGTTGTACATATTATTTATCATGGAAGCTTCACTTTTGAACTCTATTTATTTTAAGGTATGAATATTTGTCATATAATTTTTGTTATTCTCACTTTCATGATAAATTGCGTTTACATGTCGAAGCTGTTGCTCTCTTGTGTTATCTGTGATACGTGAGTTCTGTATTAGTTACCGCTGATATGCAGCTCTAGTTACGGTAGACAGGGAAGTCGATTGACTAAACTAAGTTTGTCTACACTAATCAGTGCTAAATTGCGCTGCTAGTTATTCAACAATTGCTGAATACGTGCCAAGCATCCAGGTAGTCTCGCTGGTCCACTACTGCCATTGGTGAATTGTGCTCAGACACGACGTTGTGTTGGTGTACTACCACGGAGAACGCGACCTTCCTTACGTGGCTGAGACGTGGTATTGTGCAAAGTGTCATCCTGTATGGTATGGATGATATTATAATTGAGTAATTACAGTGTCTTGTGACTGCGCAACATGGCATCAAAGTACACGGCAGTATTAGATGACCAAGAGGGTGTATGATTCTTTAATCCAGTTCAGTATGATGCGGTGACGCTATGTCATTAGGTTTGCACCAATGAAACCCAACGTTTTCCGATTATGATTTATTTGCAAGCTTGTTGTCTGTTCTCTCAAGTCCAAATCTTTGCTTACAGAGAGGGAAGGAACTAGAGTAGATGTTTAACAATGTATATGGTAAGAAGACGAAAAATGAATTCGTGGATGTCCAATTTATGGATGCCCGTTTATTTGTTTGAAAGATAAGTCAAAGTCATCTCCTCGCATCAACGCAACAAATGTCATCGTCAAAGGTAAAGGTCGCTCAGTTTTTACAATAGAACTTTTTTTTACTGAAAGAAGGAAAGAGCGACTCGACGATCCATTGCACAGCGGGGAGTTGTTTGTTGTGCTTGAATCTCCGCTGGCTGTGCTCCCCCGTTCCAAATTACCATCTTCAGTAAAATTAGTTCTTAGCAATATGCTACGATCGTTTGCAATACCTACATGTCATTCTTAATTCTGTATTGACGAGTGGGATTAGTTATACTTGAACATATTTCAGGACTGTGCCAAAATAGGAGCTATTCAGGACCATAGCCAAGCCTAGCGTTGTTCAGAGTCCGTGTGCAGCTAGTAGAATGTTGAGCCCGCTTCCCTCGGGATGTCAAGTTTTGAACTTTTTTATCTATAGATCCCTGGTCGGCAATGCCCAGAGCAAAAATTTGACTGCCTAGTTCCTTTTAGACCTTGACTAAAACCTAAATTAAAAAGTGTAAGATAGAAGAAATATTCTAACACGATTTATAATGTTGACATAGCCTGGAAGATCCTCTGTGTATATTCACCTCACTGCGTTTCAAACAAGCTCTCACTAATATATATATAATAGGTTAAACTGATAACATTATGCCGGTATGGGATACATCTCGCTTATCGCTGATTATCGTTTGTGATTGGACATTGTTCGCAGCTTTGCACTCCTTGTATTTTTGCTTCAAGTTACTGGAATTAATTCACAAGCCACTCACGGAAATTGGGGTTGCAACACAAGGGCTTAAGAACGTTGAAATTTAGATAGCTTTCGTCAATTACCAGGCCGTTGAACAGCAGGCTTCGGACCAGCTTCCTCCTACGTGTCGATAATCGCGGTCACGAACTCGACGAATAATGCTCTCCGTTAATAGTCTAGCTGTCGACAAGCGGCGCATCTACCTGTTCAGATGGCATAGACAGATAAAGAGTTCTTCGCGGTTGCATTAGCACATATTGTATTATGGTACGGCGAAATATATTGCGTAAGGTACTACGCAAGAAAATGTTGACAGGCAAAATCCGCAAATTGTGAGAGCAAAGCAAGCGAGCAAAATAATGTTGCCAACAGCACAGGGTCGGGAGAGGGATCACCTTGGGCGTGACATAGCTCGTATAAGACAAGATTTGTAGTTATACTTGGCGTGCAGCTCGTCTTGCTTTTAACATATGAAACTACATTCATTCATTCATTTATATCTCGCACAGATGAAAGAAGTCTTAATCCATGTGTATTAAAGTATTTATTTAATAAAACTTCTATAATTTACTGTTGTTTACATACCTTCCTTTCTCGCTTTCTGACAATGCACAGGAATAAAGAGATTCATCACAAGAAGGTTTGCTGAAAAGATTTAAATCGTCAGCTTTACCTCAACGAACGAAACGCATGAACACTCGTTCTAATAAAGATGGACGAGCTGAAAAAATTAATAAAAATAAGATCTGTAATAATAAAAATTATGACTATTAGCAGCAAACCATATTGAACTATTAGACTGCAAAAAATTTAGAATACAACGTGCAGGTTCCATCCGATACAATCCATCACTTTCCCATTGAATTAAACCCATGTCAAACAAGTTTTCAATATACTTTTCTATAACTGTTACAACAAGCTCGAATGATTTTCACATCTGCAAGGAACGCGCGAATGATTGCCACATTGGAAGCCTTATTGTAGTTTATGACCAACAAAAATATTGAAAACGATGTTAGACACGTGTCTCCAATTGAATAGTACAAAGTAATGATTATGTACACAGGTAGCAAATGATGCTAAATTGCATAAATAGAGCGCAAGTACTTTTACGTTCACTTGGCGAGTTTTGATGCTGACAAGTGTAAAGTACTTCACCTCGGGAAGAACAATATGAACAGCAAGATTACACTACGAGAAGACAACAGATGAAAATGCAGCCATGCTCTTTTGTTACACATACGCATCGCACATCAAACATGGGCGAGCAAATCAAAAAAATTATTAAGTATTGTCCTAACAAATTGGACAATTTTAAACAAGTCATGGAAGAACGCTGACAAGGATTTAAACCTGAAGAATACAGGCGTCAACAGCTCTAGCTGTAAACTTCGAATTTCATATTTAGAGCCTTGAGCTAATATGCGAGGCTTGGTGAAACATTCGAATCATTCAATACTTTTCTTGTCCCATTACTTAGGTCAAAATAATAGATCCATAGGTATGAGAAGCTCTTGATTATGAATGCTGAGACAATACTCAGTTTTATCAATGATCTTTCTTGCTCATGTTTAATCGATCGCAAGCTTCGAGCTTCAGCATAAGAAAGCTTCTGTCCTGCAAAGATGGTTTCACCCAGACAAAAATTATTCGCAAAAAGCTGCCATTATAATCAATACTAGTTTACAAACTAAAGAGCACACAGATTTCCCTAAGGACAGCAATGTACAGACGAATATTTTATAAATAATAATGAGGCTTCTTCACGGTGACGCCGTACTCGGCCAGCACAGGGGCTAGGTCGTCCATGGTGAATATAGAACATGTTTACTTTCCCTAAGGACAGCAATATACAGACGAATATTTTATAAATAATAATGAGGCTTCTTGACGGTGACGCCGTACTCAGCCAGCACAGGGGCTAGGTCGTCCATGGTGAGGGTGTAGCGTTTGTCTTTGCCTGCAACTTTACCAGCACCGGCCGCTCCACCGCCGGCGCTGCCTTGCTTGCCTAGGTTATAACCGTGGAGGTAGGAGTGAGGAATGAAGGTTATAACCGTGGAGGTAGGAGTGAGGAATGAAGGTTATAACCGTGGAGGTAGGAGTGAAAAATGAAGGTTATACTCGTGGAGGTAGGAGTGAAAAATGAAGGTTATACTCGTGGAGGTAGGAGTGAGGAATGTAGGTTATACTCGTGGAGGTAGGAGTGAGGAATGTAGGTTATACTCGTGGAGGTAGGAGTGAGGAATGAAGGTTATAATCGTGGAGGAGGAGAGTGGAGGGAGGGGGCCTTTTTATGCGGGGAGTGAACAGAAATATTATATATTATATTAACAGTGAACAGATATATTATATCAACTCTTACTAATCATCCAATCATCAGGCTGCAAGCTTGTACACTTGAGAATAGATTTCAGTTGTGCTGTGGATGGTAGAGTGATTTGAGGAGTCAGTGGGAGTATGATGATGTGAGGTGTGAATAGTAGTACATGAGGAGATAGTTAGCCTTGGCATACTGCCGAATGCCAAGGCTGTTCAATGCCCTACCAAGGGATCTAAGAGAGGGGGAGTTCACCCTGGAGACCTTCAAGAGACAACTAGACATGTTCCTGAGCACAATCCCAGATCGACCTCCCCTGCAACACTACCAGCGGCGAGAAGCAAGCAACAGCATCGTGCATCAGGTGGCCCAAATGAGGGCGGATGAACGATAATCAGAGGCGGCGATCCATCGTGGCCTGGGACTGCTACGTCCCAAACAAATACTGAGGATACTACTAAGGATAGTGGGATCATAGTGGCGCAGAGTGACGGAAGGTTGAGGTAATATTCTTGTGAAAAGTTAATTAGAGGTAGTATTTGTGATGGTAAATACATTGACTTAACATGTTCAGAAGGGACATGAATGACTTTGGTTAGACAAAGCTTTGATGGTTATAAATAAAAACATTAAACATTACTGTATGTAAAGGCTAATTTTTAAAAGTTATTTCTGTAGGTGGAAACTAAGTTGGAAACATTCATTGTAAAATTATAGAAGGTACAAAAAATGAACAAAAATTTGTGCTCTAGATATGGAACAGTAGTACACAGCAAAGAGATTGTAGACCAGGAGAGACACTCACAGTCTGGCATCACTAGCTTCAAAGCCAGCAGTGTTGAGGTAGTAGGAGGTCACCGCATCAGGGATCTGGGAGACCAACAATGACTTCTCAATATGTTCTTTACACTAAGGTGATTGCATCTTAATTCTATTCTTTAAGACGAAAAATGAAACCTATTACCGAACATCCATTTCTAAGCTACTTAAACACATTGAACATTTGTCTGCACCATTATTTTTAATTCAACTGAAGCAGATGGATTGGGCATCCACTAACATATAGGTAGTATTTGAGAAACGCTATTTGCCATTACAATATGATCCAAAACTCATTGATATCAAAATTGGTTCTCAGATTTTGTGGGACAAAAACTAAATGAACAAATGAAAAAATGTCTAGAACTGACAAATTTACTTTATTCAGAAGGTACATGAAGCAGGGTTTTTGAATGGAGTTTCTTCACAGAACCTGGCTAACAAAAAATTTGAAAACAATTTTATAGGACCTTGCCATAAAATTATTAGGACCTTGATGCAAAGTCCCATCCTGGTTAGCTATTGTTTTTATAAGTTGTTCAAACTCATTGAAAACTCTTCTTTTGACTAATGCATGTTACCTGAACAACATAATTTCTCTGCAGAGATCATTTAACTCTTGCTAATCATCCAATCATAAGGCGGCAAGCTGGTGCACTTGTGAATAGATTTCAGTTGCATCACCAAGTCATTTGACGACTTATAACACAAAAGACTAACCGTTGGATTGTAGTCCTCCAGCTGCATGAGAAGATCAGAGAGGGGAGCAGCAGAGCCACGTGTGCCTTGTGCCATCTGTGAAGTTAAGTGATGCTCTTGACTCATACAATCTTAATTGGTGCAAGAATTATGAGTTTCAAAGTAGAGATATAATTCAGTAAATTTTTGATGACACTAAAGGCTATCATTTCTGCCAGCCAAAATAACAGACACCAAATGCCCTGATGCTGGCTAAGTGTGTTTATGATGTCTAGGTACAATGCATGCAAGACATAAGCTGGCAATAACTATAAATAGATACCGTAATTCATTGATAATTTCTTTTTGATATCAATAACAATCTTTGGTTCTAATATGTATGTTAGTGAAGTGTTATGTTAACCCATATTATTTTATGTGTGATACATATAGGTATAATGAATTGAAAATCACCTAAAAAATAATCCAAAGAAAAAAGTCTTGACAGTCACTATCCTCAGGACTCTCACAAATAACTAACACATAAGTAAAATAGACAAAACCTATTTAGGTTTGATGCAAGAAAGTAATTATGTGTCCATGCTTGATTGTTGTATGACAATTAACATTCTATCTACTGACATAATGTGCATGCAAAGGAAACTCATTCCATTATGTTAAAGATGGGTAAATTAAATGCAGACTATGCAGTTGATTCAAATGTATGCAATCAGCAAAATTTGGGGGTAGACTTAAAACGTGCATTGGCAATTGTCATGTTGATTATCACATCACATACTTATAGTTACATCATAGTGGAATCACGGGCACTAGTTCATGCTAATATGAGATTTTGCTGATGTTGAATGATTGATATGGACTTTGTGAACATTATAATAAAATTTACATGACCTAGTGATTCTTGTGGTGTTGATAGATTAATCAATTGCAATTGTTTGTGATTGGATCTGCAACTAAATATGGACAACAATTGAAGATGACTAGATGGATTGTTTGAAAATTTGCCAAATTTTCAACCTAAAGGCCTTATTTCACAGTCTTACTGGGTTTTTACCCCTTTAGCAATCAGATGTACTGTACAGAATACAGATGCATTTCAAACATGCTCTACAATATTATTGTTGTGATTAAGAATCATCTCCAGAGGTTATTACTGCATTTGATACAAAAAGGCACTATTGTGCTCATCATGTCCGTATGTCCGTCCGTGATTTCATGTTTATGTCAACAAGGAAATGCGCTCTCGGTCACTCACTGCAGCGAATACCGAGTTACATTTTTCTTGGTTTGGATGTGCATCACTGCATCAACACTTGAACTTGGCACTTGCTATCATAGTGCAAATGGTAAACCATGCAGTAATAAAGGTACAATAATAGTACATGCTATTTAGAGATTTCGAAACGATCAATGATTCTTCCGGACCATTCCATCTGTTCCACAGCACACTACTCACACTAGCACCTTTCCTCACAAGATCCACAAGCTGTCAAGCATACTGATTATAAACAAGAGGACAGTGTCAGCCAACGGCCCAACAACAACAACAACAACAACAGTTCAACGGACAAAAATTTTAATGTTGTCAAAACAAATCAACTCACTGAAGATGAAGTCAGGTTTTGAGTCATTAAATCATAAATGCCTAAAAAATATTAAAATCTAATGTTTCTGCATGGATTTCAATGCTTTAAAATTGAGAGACTTTGAAGTATCTCTCTTATTATACATAGTCCATAGGGTAAACGCGGTATATTCCAACATCATGGGTAATTCCAACACCTCTCTAGTTTTTCCATTATATTAAGCTTTGTCTTAGTTCCACGCATTCGTTGATGGTTGAAATAGTGACGTCATACCTTTGCACGCCAAACTATTGCCAAAACACTAGGTTTGGGCGGAAATTGGGCCGTCTGGTGGGAAAATGTCTAGAGATCCAAAGAGAGACAGTGCATGCCACCCAGTGAGATCATCGAAAAATGTGTCAAAGTTGATAGTTGACCTTGCTCTACCAAATAGTGATAAACTGTGTAGAAAGAACATTATGATTTGAGACTTTTAAATACGTCTGTGAATATATTAGAAATCCTTCAAGTATACTTGTATTTGCTGATTTCAAGTGGTAAATAAATTGTAGATGATTAAGTTAAGAAACGGATTTAGACATACAAAAACTAATTCCAACACAGCTTGAATTAAACACACACAGCTCGTTCCAATTAATTAAAAAATTAAAATTTTCTTAATTAAAAGCTTAATAGCTGTTAATTAAAAGCAGAGTTGGTGATTTTTTTGATTAAAAAAAAAATAAAAAAAAATAAAAAATCAATGATTTTTTTTATTTTTTCATGATTTTTTTTATTTTTTCAACTTTTCTGTCTTTTGAAAGTTTTTTTTTTTTATGTTGCAATTAGCCTACTAACAATAACAGTATATGGATCATAATGGATCACTAAAAAGGGCACTTATTGCCTTCAATAATGGCCAACAGGCCAAGGTGGTGTTTACCACTTAGGGATTTTTGGGTAAACAATTATTGGTAAGTCTATTCATTAGCTTTGTAAAGTTTGTATGGAGCGAGTCACATAACAGATAGGAAGCTGATAGCACAGTGCACAACACTATCATTAGATCTACTAGTTTTATGTCCTATAAATCTACCAGTCTTTACCCTCTATACCAGTGGTTCCCAAAGTGGGCGATATCGCCCCCCTAGGGGCGATGGAAAGATTTTGGGGGGCGGTAAAGAAGAAGAGGGCAATAGGGGGGCGATAAGGGGGGCGGCAGTTCGAAGCCAAAGTCAGAAGTGCGAACATTTGCTTGACGATTTGTAGACAACACGTGCAGCACATGACGCCCAGCGATGGTTTTTTCACCCAGATCTGTTTTTTATGAATGTTTAGATAATGCTGAATGAATGTTTAGATAATGCTGAATGAATGTTTAGGTAATGCTGAATGAATGTTTAGATAATGCTGAATGAATGCTTAGATAATGCTGAATGAATGTTTGGATAATGCTGAATGAACGCTGAAGAATGTGTTGACAATGTTCATCAAGGAAGATTCCGTATTTAACATTGTTGTTGTGGTGGCAGGTTTGGTGTTCGACAATCACCAAGGAGCGAGCACACCTTGAGATCAGGAAGGACCCGCACGTGCCTCCAAAGTTCA